ATTTTGAACTAGTTGCAGTTTCTGGAGGGGGCACAAGGGTAGCCCAATGCACAGCACATTATGGAAATCGAGCCTAGAGTTTACCAAGGTGTCTGTATCAGGTCATTCTCCTCCAGGAAAGGACATAGCTGATGAACCAGCCCAGTGTTCACTTGTGTAATATGCATTTGTACCAATGCGCACTTGCACATATGGAATGAAATTCTCACAGATTCCTTTAAAATGTCTTATTTGATCAGAGACCAGAAGATGAAATGAAGGCTGTCTAACAACCCTCAAATTACATGAGATGGTTTTCTTAAAAATAAGTCTATCTAGGAACTGTTAATCCCTGTTTATCATGAGAAAGCACAAGGGGATCAGATATGTGCCCGTATCTTCTCTCTGTCAGACAGGCCAGGATGACCACCCCATCTCCAACCAGATCATGAATGATCATAGTTTTATTTATGGGCTGACATGACATTACAAAGCAGCAGTGAATGGGATTGTGGGTGCCTCAGAATGCAAGACCCCAAGTTACCCTACTTGGCAGGGTGACCAGAAGGAGAGATTCTTTTAAGTAAATGTTCTCTCCTTCTCTTGCAATAGTATTTTAACCTGGAGAACCAGGCCAGGTGGTTTGTTGCTGCACCAATGGTCTTCTGGCAAGGCAGTGGACACATGCCTTAGTTACCAAGCATTGTTTATTTTCCTACTGAGGTCTGTCCTCTGACAATTCCTCTGCACATGCCTCTCCTTTTGCAGCAGGACCAGAAACCTCCAGCATTTGTAGAATTTTCTCGCCATATCTGGATGCCTCCAATATGGAGCTGAGAATTCAGGGGGGAATCCATTCTGCTCTGCATCAAGATGTGTTTGGCTTCAGAAAGAGAGCAGCAGAAGTGGCTTCCTACCCATCTCGTATCAGGAAAACAGCCCTGAGACCATATTCATCACATCCTTGCCCATCTCTGCATCGTGCTGTATGTGTCACCTATTTCGTCTTGCAGAGATGCACCTGAGCCAAGTGTCTCTGCAGTCACCATATGTTTACATCTGATCCTTTCAATGTAGGTGCTTTAGGGATGCAGGGCAGGGGAAAACCTGCTGCTAACATCAGACGCTCATGTGTGTGTGCATTTCAAAGAAGCTGCACTTCCTCTAAGAATCACAGGAAATTTGACAGGCTGCCACCTAGGGAAATGCCTGAGAATTATCCACATCTAAAGGTAGATCACTCAATATTTTGTCCCTCAGTGATAGCATTTGACTATTCCCAGCTGACTGTGGGAAATGTTGCCCTCACTGAAAACAAATGCTTTCTTTGAGAAGATATGAAAGTTCTCTCGGTGGCGTTTGATCTGCTATGACTCCCTCCCTCCCTGCCCCTCTCTCTTTCTCTTATATATACGAGTCACCAGTTGAGGTTGCAATCCCTGTGTGAACTCACCCTGAGTCAAAGACAGCTCATGTTAACAGCAGTAGTCCTGAAAGTACAGGAGCTAATGTTGCCCGTTGCTGTACTCTTCTTTGCTTTTCAAGCAGCAGGGGTAAAATGCCTATACACAACCTTCTCCATTGATTCAAAATGAGCACTCCTTAAAATCTGACAGGTCAAGAGCTGTCCAAGAGTTCTGGAAATCTGGGGATGCCAGGAATTGAACCCAGAACCCTAATCCCTGCATGACTTGGCCTAAACCTAATGCTCCTTTAACCATGTGTCATGAAGCGATCCATCCAATTTTGATTTACACTCCTGAAACATGCATGATCCTGGTCTAGACTGAGACCACAATGTTTTAAGTGATGAGGACTGAAACTTTTGTTTCCATCCAGAAATTCCATCCCTGGAGGCTAGGAGTGGATAAAACCACAAATGTCTCCACTGGGATAAATTTTTTGGTGTGTATTAATGTTGATGTGCACGTGTGGTAATACACATTTGTACAAATGCACACTTGTACATATGGAATGAAATTCTCACAGGTTCCTTAAAAATCTGATTCCATCAGTGACCAGAAGATGGAATGAAAAATATCCAACAACCCACAAAATAATGAGACTTTTAAAAATCATACATCTGCTAGCATACCCATGAGCTGATACCATGTGGCTCCCCATGACAATTAGGCCAGTATGGCCGATGTTTAATAGTCCAAAACATCTAGAAGAAGATATAGACAGTTGTTCTAGGTCAGGGTGTTGCATGACTTTCAGCCTGAGGGTTGAATTCAATGAAGGAAAAGCTTTTGCGGGCCACTTTCTGGTGGCAAATGTAACCATAGGGAGAAAGCGTGTGGTCCAAAATGCCAACAGAACAAATAATCTAACCTGCATCTTTAGCTAGAAGATACCAAGAATAGTGTTGAGCTATTGTCTTAGGGGAAAGATTTTAAACATTTAGAATGCTGGGGAAGTTTGGAACATAGATACTAATGACTTGGATAGATACTAATGATAGATACTTTGTTTCTCATTAAACATAGAAACATAGAAACAGAGCGAGTCAGAAGGGGACTCCCGGGCCATCTAGTCTGACCTCCAGCACCAGCCAGCTCCTCTCACGACATGCCCACCATGTGGACGCCCAGCCTATCCTTGAACACCCGCACCGATGGGGCCTCAACGACCTCTTGTGGAAGCCCATTCCACACTCTCGGGGTCCTGACTGTGTGGAAGTGCTTCCTGGCATCCAAATGGAACCTTGGCTCCCTGAGCTTTGCACCATTGGAGCGCGTCCTGCCTTCCTCTGCAGGGGAGAACAGGTCTCTACCCACCTCCGTGTGACATCCCCTCACATACCTGTATGTCGCCAACAGATCCCCACTGAGTCTCCTCTTCTCCAGGCTGAAGAGACCCAGTTCCCTCAGTCTCGCCTCATACGGCATCCCCTGCAAACCGGCCACCAACCTTGTGGCCCTAGGCTGCACTGACTCAAACCTGGCTATATCCTTTCTGTAATGAGGGGCCCAAAACCGAACACAATACTCCAGTTGCGGTGCACCAGAGTCGTGTAGAGTGGTAGTAATACCTCTCTTGATCTAGAAGCCACACTTCTGGCTATGCAACCAATGGTGGCGTTCGCCCTCTTGACCACTGAATCACACTGCTGACTCATGTTTAGCCTGCAGTCAACCAGTACCCCGAGGTCCCTTTCACAAGTGCTGCTCTCCAGCCACTTGTCACCTAACCTGTACTTATGACACCTATTCCTATGCCCCAAGTGCAAGACCTTGCACTTATCCACATTGAATGCCATCCTGTTGTCTCCTGCCCACTTGCATAGTCTGTCCAGATCCTTTTGGATCTGGACTACCTGCTCCTCAGTTGTGGCCACTGCTCCAGTTTTAGTGTCGTCTGCAAATTTGATCAGCAGACTGTTCACCCCTTCTTCCATGTTGTTAATGAAAAGATTAAACAGGATCGGCCTCAGGACAGAGCCCTGGGGCACCCTGCTTGTCACTGGCCGCCATCCCGATGATTGTCCGCTAATGGTTACCTTCTGCTTTCGGTCAGTCAACCATGCCCTAATCCACCGGACAGTGCTTTGGTGTATCCCAAAACTCCTCAGTTTCTCCACCAGGATATCATGGGGCACTTTGTCAAAGGCCTTGCTGAAATCCAGGTATACCACATCCACTGCATCCCCTCCATCTAGCCATCTTGAAACCTTGTCATAGAATTCCACAAGGTTTGTCTGGCAGGACCTGTTTTTGCGGAAGCTGTGTTGTGTGGCTGTCAGCCTCCCTTCCCTATCTAGCATCACTAGATCGCTCTCTATTATGAGCCCCTTGACTTCAAGGGGGGTTACTCTAATCTGTGCCCCTAAGTCCCCAGCCTCATCTAATCTCCTATGCAGATATCCCCCATCCTGCTTTGGGGAGAACACAGAGGCAAATAATCATTTAGCATCTGTGCCTGTTCCCTCATATCAGTCACTGGATCTCCTTCCTCCTTATTTAGTGGTCCCACCACTTGTCTCCCTTTCCTCTTCCTATTTACATAACAAAGTGAGAAAAAAGCATATAATGAAAAAATAAGTTTAATCATATTTGGGGTGTATTTAGTGGGTATATCTTTAAAAAAGGGAAAGGTTCGAGCCTTTGAAAGAATCATTACAATTTGGGGATGGGGGAATGTCCTGAAATGTTTGAATGAGGGTTGCTTTTTATTTTTAATTATTTTTTATTATTATTTTTAATTATTATTTTTAATTAATTTTTTTGATTGTGGCATGTATCATTGTCCTGGGGGAAGGGGATGTTCTGTATTGCAAGAATTATTTAAATTGCATGTTTAATTGTATATGTTTCTATTTAGATTTAAGGAGATTTTTGGATTGTATTTTAGATTGAAAAAATTAATACATTTATTTTAAAAAAGAATGGTGGGAAGTTCAACAAAGTGATCTGTGGTCAGAAGAGAGGTGGCAGACTAGGCAAGGTTATGTGGCCACCAGAAAAAGTTCGGAGGGTCCTAATGGGAGTCCAGGTGGGATGGAATGGACCAGGAGTTTCAACCACCATTGAAAAAAATACATCAGCAGCAGCATCAAGTGTCAAAGCAGGGTAATGAAGATTCTTCCCTTGCGTTTCTGTTTCTCAATGACTGGACTTGAATTGCTATGCAATAAGTCTAGGACTTTGTTTATCATGTTTGCTTTCCACCCATGGTGACTACTGAAGCTGAAAACAGTCATTCTCTACCCAATGGTGAGCAGAAGAATCTGTTTCACCCAGATGGTTGGATTTCAAAGAGCATCCCTTGAAATGTCAGCTCAGTTTTGAATAATGCATCCTTTGTTTATGCACTTTAAAGCAAAACCATTTGTCTTGAACCACAGTAACCTTATTAGTTCTCTTTCATGATGAGAAGTGTCCTTTATCTTCTATCAATGTTGAGTGCGAAGTAACTTCTCCAGATGGTCTGTTTGAACATCCCATGGATTTAAAAGAAGCAGACGCAGAAGTACAAGGAAAGCTGAGGCTGAAGAGGACGGCAACATGTCATGATAAAACTTTTCTGAGTGCAATAGAGGAGTTGAGTTCTTTTGCCTATAGTGCCATCCACATTAAACGCATGTGTAAAGCACACCTTTGTGACGCTAAGGCTACCATTATACTTTTAATCTCACAAACTGTTACACACTTACCACTTCCTTGAATTCAATGGGGCTTCCTCTAGCCTAGCCATTCCTAACAGTCACATATCATATACACAGTTACTTGTTCGAACTGAAGATGCTAAGGATTAATTAATTAATTAAAACTTGTATACCCCATCCACCACTTTGATGTCTCAGGATGGCTTTTGAACAGTCATATGACTAAAGTTTTTCCCCCTTTTTTGTGTGTGTGGGGGGTGGGTATTTGTGTATTTAGTTTCAGATTTCTAATTTATTTTGCCCCTTAACCTCAAGACTAAAAATAAGTTGACAGTGTAAGTCTTCCGACAATGGATAAACAAATGAAAAATAGGTGTGCATAAAGACCTGCAACGTATCTCTGTGTCTATGCCAAATCTGTCTAAATGTAAATTTGTAAGATTTTGTAAATAATAAATTTGCATTGAGTTTGCATCAAAATGATGAACTTTTCCATGGAGTGGTTGAGATCAGCAATTCTGCTTCTTTGAAGCCACATCTTGAGAAGTGTCTTGTAAAGTTAAATTCTGTAACACTGGACAGATCTGAACAGGGATGACTGGATTTTCCCCATCGTTCTTCCTGCACAGCATTGTTCTTCTTCTTCTGAATGTTAAAATTAAGCAGGATTTTTCTAAAATACAGAATTGGGGAATACATAATATGCAACTGTTTTTGGGTATTTTGTGGGAGAAAAGGAATGTGGCAGTTCTCTCCACCAAGGCCTAGTGATTTCAGTGCTTATCTGTCTTTGCATCCCTGTTCATTCAACAATAGTACTATTTAATTTGGATTGTCACCTTTGTGTGTGTGTGATGGGGGGAGTTGGGGAGGAGACAAGTATGTCCTGTTGCTCATCTTTAAGAACTACAGGACAGGCAGATACAACATGATTCTCTGTATGCTGGGATTCGCTGTATTTATTGACTGACTTCTGAGTGAGAATTTTGTTTCTCTTTGTCCTTATGAGAATTTATGGAAATTCAGAAAGTTGAAACATGAGTTTTTGGGGTTTTGTTTTTTTAATAGTAGCTATAGGGAGCAGTTCCTAGGCAAATCCAAAGAAAATAGCTACTATGGGAATATCTTCAGAGAGCTGCAGGAAGAAAGTAGATTTGACATGCATATAGTAGGCATGCCATGAGCAGAGCTGGCTAGAGCTGGGGGTCAGACTAGATGGCCCAGGAGGTCCCTTATGACTCACTCTGTTTCTATGATTGTATGTTCTATGTTTCTATTGGAATACAACCAGAAGGCTTGGTGTTGATCAGCAGATACTTAACAGTAGCAATGACAATAAGGATCCACTCCAACTCTAATTTAGGCTGCTGCAAGGAAGAGTAGAGCAGACTTGTTTGGGAGAATGGGAGTTCTGTTGCTGAACATTAAAGCAAAAATGCTGTTTTCCTTAATTCTAAGAGCCACACTATGCTAATTGTGCATTGTGCAGTTGAGCATTCATTTACTTAATCTAGCATAAACATGTGTGACCAAGATTCAGAATGGGAGCACCACATCCTGGGGAAATAATACAAATTTCTTCCAATATTTTCTCAAAATTCTTGGGGCCAACACTATAAAAGAAGAAGAAAGTATCCAGGGGCATCAATCAAATTCCCTCAGTTTGCTACCAGTTTGCACCTGACCCTCTTTGGTGGATCTTGGAGTTTGCAAACCTTGGACAGGGATCAGATTCTGTGTGATCAGTGAAATATTTACGTATGTAAAGAAGAAGAAATGAATAATGAAACTTAGAATGGTACATTGTTGTGAGCTGTCCCAAGGCTTCAGCGAATGGGGCAGCATAGAAGTTTCCTAAATAAATAAATAAATAAATAAATAAATACATGACCATTTAGCAGAGGGGCAGTGTAATATAGTGGTTAGAGTGTTTGACTAGGATTCAGGAGAACTAGATTGTAGTTCCCACTCAGTCAGGAAGCACACTGGGTGAGTTGATCCTGTTTCTGACACTTAGCCCAGCCTACCTCACAGGGAGATTGTGAGCATAAGTTTAAGAGGAGGATTTACATAAGCAATGTGTTCCTTAATGGAAAAAACAGTGGAATATAAATAAATATATAGATGGCTAGGGGACAGCTGTAGTTGTGATTTAAACACCTTCCTGTGTTCAATTTAACTTTCTACACCTATCAGTAAGTAACCAAAACTTCCCCAATGGCCAACAGTCGCTTGTATAACATTCAAGTACATTTGTGCAGATATCTGCAATTTTCAAATAACCTTTTCTCTGCAATTGACTGTTGGCAAGAATTACCTGGTTGGTCAGTAATTGTACCAGCAGGCCAAGTGCAAAGCCAATGAAGCCAGCTTAGAATTGGCCAGGTGGCAACTGCATTTATTTGGCAGTCAATGGCATCCTGTGACAATAAGTCGATTCTATTTTCAAAGCAGATCTGCAAGGGGAAAATGAAACAAAACGAAATGAAGCAAATGGAATGTCCTTCCAGGTCTCTCTTTTTCACACATGCACACACAGAGCCAAGCGACTAAAACAGGTGCTCGGCAGAATTCAAACATGGTCAGCAAGGTTGCTACTTCCCTTTACAGATAAAGCACTTGTGTTCTTTTCTGTTCTGTGTATACACAACATTCCATGTCAATATGGCCAGCCTGTAGGTTTGCTGGTTTAATAACCTCAGACCTGCTTCTGGGGAAATAATAACTTGTATGTACATTGTAAGTGCATTGCCTGCTCCCTGTGCCAAGCTTCTGACCTGTGCGATGTCGCACATCTGTAGCTAGAATATCACAGCAGAATCAATTCCTCTGGTCTGAAGTAATGCAACCATCTCCCCAGCTATTACATGCACCTTTGTTGAACTTCACCAAGGGTGATCATACAGAGACAAGGTCTGATCACCATTGCTCTTAAAAAATAAAATCAGATGACCAAGGTCCCACTTGGTCCCAGGAAAAGAAGCTGTGCTTGCTTCACCTGAGCATCATGGCACCCTGATGGATGGATGGAGTGTGGAGTGAACTGCAATATATAGAGTTGCACTGGAAAGGTGTCTTGTATTTGAGGGCTGTAAGAAGAAGCATAATCACATGAGCATGCCATGAAACCTTGCTTGCAGGATCCACTTCCTTCATTGTGTTCCTCTCAGTTCAAGAGTGGTCCATATATATAGCCTCTCCATTCAATTTAGAACCCTGTTTAAGCAGGCTTCTGAGGGCAGGTGAAATTGTGCAAAGCTCCTTTCTGAAAATAAACATCTACATCATCCACTCAGCTCAGAAAAAAGGCAGACTGCTGTGGAAGCCACAATTCTGATTCAGAGAAATTTCACTTCTTTTGAATCCATTGCAGGTTTCTCTGACACTCCTGGGGGAGCTACCAAGTTCTCCAATTATCCCTAACCTGTGGGGACCATAAGAATTCAAGGCAATATGTGTTGTGGATTCTGAAACCAGGGAGGAAGCAGGTGACCGTGATTTCGTAAAGTCTCGCTTAAGCAGCCATTTGTCCAGTGCTCTTTTGACTGAGACCAAAGGAGGGGCAATTTGGAGAAGCACAACATGTTTGCACATTGCATGCTTAACCTCTCATAGTTAAAGTCCCAGTGGAGCTAGCGGTGAGGCATGGAATCCAAAATCTGTCTGTGAGTCATCCGGGTTCTTGCACTGGGAGCTACCCAGAGATGCAAGAAACTGAGCCCAGACTTGACCTGCATTTCACATTGCTTGTGCACTGCAGTTGTATTTGTGGATGGAAAGATCAGCCAGGCTCAAATAGATTACGGTTTCATCCACCAGACACTGGCATGCACATGTAGCCGTAACTACACGCAATCATGGAGTATTCCATTTGTATCTATTTTGGGTGCATGGATTAGTACTTCCCAGCAGATTTAGGCAGATATTTTCTGAACTAAAATAGGGAAGCCCAATACAATTTCATGTGTAATGGCTTTCCCTAGATTCTATTATTTCTAAATGTAGATGGATGCCCCACTGCACAATGCATGGGCGCTTGATCCACTTTCAGATAAATCATGGCATCTCTAGCATCCCACCCCGCCATAACTGACTTCTGAATAAACAAGCATATGCATGTGTTGAACAGCAACAGCATATTTTTCGTGTTCTTGCCACATCCACTCTGTGTTTACATTCTATTATGTATGGCATACGTATTTTTTCTTTGTTTCTTACAAAGAAAAATCAGATCAATTAATTTTCTAAGGACAAAAGTAATACTTGTAATGATTGAGTATTTGATTTAATAAAAGGAGAGAGATTTCTCAGATAATCGGAACTGTAAAAGCCAGATGGAATCCCAGAGAGTGTAAATAGACGCAGGCTTTTCTTTCAGTGTGAGTTTTGCAACCACCATTGTGATAGGTTTACATTAAAGATCACTTTACCATTGTAAAACCTCTTCAAGGCTGCAGGGAATCTTAGCTGCAGAATATATGTTTCATGAAATGTATCAAGTGAACTTTGCTACTGTTCCTGTTGTTCTTACTCTTTTTTTCTAATAGGAGAACGGAACAAACTAAGTGGAAAGATCAGCTGCCCTCCTTCTATGGGTAGAAACATAGAAAACAGAACGAGTCAGAAGGGGGCTCCTGGGCCATCTAGTCTGACCTCCGGCACCAGCCGGCTCCGCTCACGACATGCCCACCATATGGACGTCCAGCCTATCCTTGAACACCCACACCGATGGGGCCTCAACCACCTCCCGGGGAAGCCCATTCCACACCCTCGGGATCCTGACTGTCAGGAAGTGCTTCCTGGCATCCAAATGGAACCTTGGCTCCCTGAGCTTTGCTCCGTTGGATGTAGGGATGTATAACGAGCAAAACAAACTCACCGAAGTCTGGGAGAAGAAGTGTATATTTCAACGATGTGCATATCTGTGTGCATATTTCAATTGTGTGCATCTTCATCAAAGTTGCACACAATTGATGCATACCTTTGGGAAAATATGCACAGATTTTCATGACAGAAGAATCAAGCAAAGCGTACAACTGGTTATGGGCTTCAGTTGGGATGAGCTTCAAAACGGGTTTTTGAAAAACTTCAGCAAACTTGAGGCTTGCTGATTTAAGATATCTCTGCTTCTCACCCAGAGATATCTAAATCTATCCACCCCTGGTTTCCTTCTCAGATGCTGGTGTCAGCTGAGTGGGTGGGAGGCAAGGAAACAGAAAGGAAGGCATTCAAAACTCCGTTAACAGACAGGAATAAAGTCTAAGCTAGGGCCCTTCAGTATTAAGCATTTGTTTTGTACTTGATTTTGACATTAAAAGCAAGCAGATTTCATATTCCTTAGCTGAGATAGTCACAATTCTGTGATCTCACTGGCAACAAAAGATAAGATGTCCCTGATATACATTCTCACATTGCTTTAAGGCTGTGGGCAACAACTCTGAGTTGCCAACTGTCGACCGTTTACCGCACAAGGTGACAGTACCTGTCCACAATATACAGGGCCCTGCACTTGGTGTTTATAGTTTTAAATGTCAGAAAGCAAAAGTCAACATTGCCAAGAGGAAGGAGTGGGAGAAGAGGCAGAGGGGAACAATGTATTGCAAGAATGGAAAGGGCTAAGCCACATTTTGGATCCTCGGGTAAATTAGTTTTGCCAGTGACCCTCATTAATAAGAACTGCACAGACAGACAAGTCACTGCTTTCTGTCAGCAGGTAAACAAAAGTCCGTGTATCACTGGAACTGAAGTAACATGCTCATCCACCTTTAAATAAAAGAATAATGAATAGGTTAAGATTTCAAAAATTAAATGCATTTTAATCCAATAATTAAAGTTCAAGTTAAGAGGCTTTTCTATGTTCTTCACATTTTGGCTCAAATCAGCTGGGTCATAGGGCTCCTTCATTTAAATCTATGTTTAGGATGAACAGAACTGTGAGTCATCCCTGGCAGTTTTGGGCCAGACTGGATGTGACAGTGCTGGGCATGCTCTACCCAACTTGAGGATCTGAATGTGCTTGAGTGAAGCTGCAACTTAGGACCTTATCATAAGGACATACAGACATAAGAAAAGCCATGCTGGATTAGAGCAAAGGTCTACCTAGTCCAGAATTCCATACATACAGTGATAACCAGCTGCCTGCAGGATCCCTCAGGATTCTCCTGCCCAAGCTCTGCAGGAACAGGTGCATGCAGGTACCTGTTGCTTAGAAAATTAATATATCTGATCTAAAGGAGATAGCACATAGCCAGAAAGACC